TTCGCTGATCGGACGAGAAGCGGTGTTCTCAACGTTGTATGGCCGTTGGCCTCAGTGGTGGGGTGTGTGATAGTGAAGTTGGGGTGTGTATTCACATATTTGTACTCACCTGTTTGAGCTAGCGGGGGACGTGGTAGTGTGGTAATGTGTGGTGTAGTGTGGTGGGGTTATGTAGCATTGGTTTGGGGTGTGTACTAGTGTGTTGGGTTGTGTGGTAGTGTGGTGGGGTGTGTGGTAGTGTGGTGGGATGTGTGGTAGTGTGGTGGGGGTGTGGCAGTGTGGTGAGGTGTATGGTAGTGTTTTGGGGTTGTAGCAGTGTAGTGGGGTGTGTGGTAGTGTTGTGGGGTGTGTGGTAGTGTGTTGGGTGTTTTGAAGTATTGTGCTGGGGGGGTGTGTGGTAGTATGCTGGGGTTTGTGGTAGTGTGGTGGGATATGTAGTAGTGTGGTGGGGTTGTGTGGTCGTGTGGTGGGGTTGTTGTAGTGTGGTGGGTTGTGTGGTAGTGTGGTGGGGTAGTGTGTCAGTGTGGTAGTGTGGTGGAGTGTGTGGTAGTGCTTTGTGTGTAGTAGTGTAGTGGGGATGTGTGGTAGTGAGGTGGGGTGTGTGGTAGTGTGATGGGGTGTGTGGGAGTGTGGTGGGGCTGTGTTGTAGTGTGGTGGGGTGTGTGCTAGTGTGGTGGGGTGTGTGGTAGTATGGTGGGGTGTGTAGTAGTGTGGTGGGGTGTGTGGTAGTGTGTTGGGGTGTGTGGTAGTGTGGTGGGGTGTGTGGTGGGGGTGTGTGGTAGTGTGGTGGGGGGTGTGGTAGTGTGGTGGGTTTGTTGTAGTGTGGTGGGGTGTGTGGTTGTATGGTGGGGTGTGGTAGTGTGGTGAGGGGTGTGGTAGTGTGGTGGGGGTGTGGTAGTGTGGTGGGGTGTGTGGTAGTGTGATGGATGTGTGGTAGTGTGGTGGGTGTGTGGTAGTGTGGTGGGTGTGTGGTAGCGAGGTGGGGAGTGTGGTAGTGTGGTGGGGTGTGTGGTAGTGTAGTGGGGTGTGTGGTAGTGTGGTGGGGTTGTGTGATAGCGTGGTGGGGTGTGTGGTACTTTGGTGGGGTGTGTGGTAGTGTAGTTGGGTGTGTGGTGGGTTGTTTGGATATGTGGTGGGGTGTGTGGTAGTGTGGTGGGAAGTGTGGTTGTGTAGTGGTGTGTGGAAATGTGGTGGAATAGTGTGGTGGGTGTGTAGTAGTGTAGTGGGGAATGTGGTAGTGTGGTGGGGTGTGTGGTAGTGTGGTGGGTGAGTGCAAGCGAGGTGGGGTGTGTGGTTGTGTGGTGGGGTGTGGTAGTGTGGTGGGGGTAGTGTGGTAGTGTGGTGGGGGTGTGGTAGTGTGGTGGGTTTGTTGTAGTGTGGTGGGGTGTGTAGTAGTGTGGGGGGTGTGGTACTGTGGAGGGATGCGTGGTAGTGTGGTGGGTTTGTTGTAGTGTGGTGGGGTGTGTGGTGGGGATGTGTGGTAGTGTGGTGGGGTGTGGGGTAGTGTGATGGAGTGTGTGGGAGTGTGGTGGGGATGTGTGGTAATGTGGTGGGGTGTGTGCTAGTGGGGTGGGGTGTGTGGTAGTATGGTGGGGTGTGTAGTAGTGTGGTAGGGTGTGTAGTAGTGTGGTGGGGTGTGTGGTGGGGTGTGTGGTAGTGTGGTGGCGTGTTTGGTAGTGTGGTGGGGTGTGTGGTAGTGTGGTGGGGTGTTTGGTTGTATAGTGAGGTGTGGTAGTGTGGTGGGGTAGTATGGTGGGTGGTTTGGTAGTGTGGTGAGGGATGTGGTAGTGTGGTGGGGTGTGTGTTGTAGTGTGGTGGGTGTGTGGAAGCAAGGTGGGGTGTGTGGTAGCGAGGTGGGGTGTGTGGTAGTGTGGTGGGGTGTGTGGTAGTGTGGTGGGGTGTGTGGTAGCGAGGTGGGGTGTGTGGTAGTGTGGTGGGGTGTGTGGTAGTGTGGTGGGGTGTGTGGTAGTGTGGTTGGGTTGTGTGATAGCGTGGTGAGGTGTGTGGTACTTTGGTGGGGTGTGTGGTAGTGGAGTTGGGTGTGTGGTGGGTTGTTTGGATGTGTGGTGGGGTGTGTGGTAGTGTGGTGGGAAGTGTGGTTGTGTAGTGGTGTGTGGAAGTGTAGTGGGATAGTGTGGTGGGTGTGTAGTGGGGAATGTGGTAGTGTGGTGGAGTGTGTGGTAGTGTGGTGGTTGTGTGCAAGCAAGGTGGGGTGTGTGGTGGTGTGGTGGAGTGTGGTAGTGTGATGGGGTAGTGTGGTGGGGTAGTGTGGTAGTGTAGTGGGGTGTGGTAGTGTGGTGGGTTTGTTGTAGTGTGGTGGGGTGTGTGGTAGTGTGGGGGGTGTGGTACTGTGGAGGGATGCGTGGTAGTGTGGTGGGTTTTTTGTAGTGTGGTGGGGTGTGTGGTAGTGTGCTGAGGTGTGTGGTAGTGTGGTGGGAAATGTAGTAGTGTGGTGGGGTTGTGTGGTAGTGTGGTGGGGGTGTTGTAGTGTGGTGGGTTGTGTGGTAGTGTGGTGGGGGAGTGTGTCAGTGTGGTAGTGTGGTGGGGTGTGTGGTAGTGCGGTGTGTGTGGTAGTGTGGTGGGGATGTGTGGTAGTGTGGTGGGGTGTGTGGTAGTGTGATGGGGTGTGTGGGAGTGTGGTAGTGTGTTGGGGTGTGTGCTAGTGTGGTGGGGTGTGTGGTAATATGGTGGTGTGTGTAGTAGTGTGGTGGGGTGTGTGGTAGTGTAGTGGGGTATGTGGTAGTGTGGTGGGGGTGTGTGTTAGTGTGGTGGGTTGTTTAGTAGTGTGGTGGGGTGTGTGGTAGGGTGGTGGGGTGTTTGGTTGTATAGTGAGGTGTGGTAGTGTGGTGGGGTAGTATGGTGGGTGGTGTGGTAGTGTGGTGAGGGATGTGGTAGTGTGGTGGGGTGTGTGTTGTAGTGTGGTAGATGTGTGGAAGCGAGGTGGGGTGTGTGGTTGTATGGTGGGGTGTGGTAGTGTGGTGGGGTAGAGTGGTAGTGTGGTGGGGGGTGTGGTAGTGTGGTGGGGGTGTGGTAGTGTGGTGGGGTGTGTGGTAGTGTAATGGGTGTGTGGTAGTGTGGTCGGTGTGTGGTAGCGAGGTGGGGTGTGTGGTAGTGTGGTGGGGTGTGTGGTAGTGTGGTTGGGTGTGTGGTAGTATGGTGGGATGTGAGGTAGTGGCTCAGTGACGTGTTGATGGTCATCATTATTAGTATTATATTTCGGTGTACTGTTGTAATCTTGTGAAATCTTATATTGAATGTCTTTAAAGATAACCACCTTGCAAGAGTGTAGAAATACCGAGAACATTGTTATTATGTATGTATTAACCATACATTTTGTTCTTGTAGCTACTGAATATATACGTACTTGTACTTATTAACTTATCCATTCATGATCACTATATATAGGAAGTGGAAGCTGCATCCCAGAGTTAACTCAGAAGACATATTGGTAATGGATATTTTCAATGAGAGCTGCTCTAATTGCAGGGAAGATGTTTACATAAATTAGTTCATTTAGCACTATTCTGGTGATAAGATTCAGGTAGAGAGTCGAAGGGTAACACTGAGGTACCATCCACTATCGTTTTAATATATTTTTGTTAATTAGATGTTACAGTTCTTTTAGACTAAGATGATTCACTCCTTGCCTCTGTGGATCTGATAATTCTTGAGAGAAAATTCAGATTTCTGGCTAGTTACGTTAATTTTAAGATAAAATCGAGTTGGGAAACAATAAACTGAGAGTGGGTGGTGGGTCACCTGAGAGAATATAACTGAGAGAGGACTTCCTTACGGGTTATGCAGTAGATGTGGTATATGCCAACAAGTTCTTGTTGATGTTAATTCAACATGGCCACATCCTACAAAACATTAAACGTGGTTAGGTGACTTATTATGGTGCCATTGGCATCACAGAGGTGTCAGTTGGGGGTATTGTTTTAGTGTTTCTTTTTATTACTTTCTGCGGAGGGGGACCGGTGGGGACAAGGGGGTCTGGAGCCCCACAAGTTGAAAGAGACTTGTGTGATCATATATCAATTTGGTTGATGCAGGATATCCGCAGTGATCATCTTGTTATCTGACAATGATAACACAATGTTGCTCTTTTCTCATGTCAGTTAGATGCCAACTAGTGCAGCAAGATAACCTATATTATAATAATATTTGTCAGGCGTAACCTTGTGTTGTTCATGCCTTAAGCTTGCATGGTAAGATAACGAATGGTGGTGTTCAGAGTATCTGTGAAGGTCATTGTTAACTGATGACGACAACGATGTTCCTCGTGCCTCCATCAGCCATTCTCAAATATCATCAGTTACCATTTATGGTTATATTGGTTGTATGGTGATGGCAACAATGTTTATCTTGCCTCGAGCTAGCATTACTAACATTTTATTGCCAAGGTTTATGGTGTATGAAGCTTATAAAGGTTATATTGGTTAACTGACGATGGCAAGACTGGAGGTATCGGTTCACCCTTGAAAAGTCAGCTATTGTTGGTTGGTCAGCTATTGCTGCATCCTGCATAATGCTCTTCTTATGTATATAATAATAATAATAATAATAATAATAATAATAATAATAATGTTAATATTTAAAATAATAATAATAATATTTATTAGGGGAAAATCACATACATACAAAATGGTATACGAGAAGAATGTTGGATCTCTAGGAAGGGTAAGTATATACTATGCCTCAAGCCACTAATACACTTAGCGTTTCAGGCATGACAATAGCACCACTGTCGCTCTCGTCACAAGTAATAAATTGTCAAATAAGAACTGGTTGGATGTCGGATATTTTAATGGTCTAATCTTAAAAAATTATCACGATCTTCGTCTTTTAAATTTAGGGTGAAAACTGTTTTACAAAATATTTAGAGTCGGAACACGTAATTAGTATATAAAAAAAATAGAACAGCTTATTTTAATAATTTACAGAAAGTATTGGAATCGTGATGGTTTATGCATAATATCAATTGTGATATCTGTTGACAGGCTGGACAGCCCTTCACGGGGCAGCCGACTGTGGTCACGACAACACTGTGAAGGTCCTCCTCGACGCTGGAGCAGACGTCAACGCTAAACATAATGATGGTAAAAGTTACACATATGCATTCCAACATTATATAGCAATGCAACATAGCACACTGCACGTATCATGTGACAAAATTCAATATTTATATTTTATAATCAGTACCATAAGAGATAATGTCTGCTAGTCTGTTGAAAGTCAGAGATCACACAGATGGGGCTAGCCTTACCCAAATTGTAAGAGGGAATGGGTTGGGGAACGGGATGAACATAGGCTGGTCGGTGTCACCAAAATGTAAAAGGGAATACGTGCCAGTGGCCTATTCACACCCCCATGATGATTTTTGGCACTGTCAGCTAATTATGCAGCTAAATATTTTCAAATCAAATTTTTCAAATAATTATTTTCATATGGTAATATGCAGCATTATTCACTGATCTCGGGAAAATTAACTGAAACTTTTTGCTGTCAATAATTTGCCCGTACTCCCATACAACAGACGATCTTTACACAATATCAAAGGTTTCGAGCAACGGCTTACTAACGACTAAGGGGGAGCTATTAGTTTTTTAGTATTTCACACAACAGCGCTCCTCTTACTGCTGACCACCCACACAAAGACAATTGTATTTTTTATAGGAGAAAGAGACAGACAGACAAAAAAGAGAGATAAAAACAGATAAAAACAGGTAAAGACAGATACAGAGAAAGACAGAGACAAACAGAAACTCAGACTCACAGCTAGAGATAGACAGGCAGAAACAGACTCTCTCTCTGCCTGTCCTCTGTCTATGACACAGAAAGAGAAAGAGAGGGGCAGAAACAGAGATATAGACAATTGAGAGATGGACGGATATAGGTGGATGGATAGATGGATAAGAGGATGAATAAATGCATTGATAGATAAATGGATACACAGATAAGTAGATGAATGAAGGGATAAATACATAGAAAGGTAGATGGATGGATAGACGAAAAGATTGATGAATAGATAGATGTAAAGCAGTTGGATGGGTAGGAGGATGATTAGGTGCATATTTAGATAGATGACTAGATATATAAATATATGAATAAGTAGATTAATAGATAGGTGGATAGAAAGCTAGATGGATAGATATATAAAAAGCTAGATGGATATATAGATTGAATGATAGATGGTTGCACAAAGGGTGGATTTAAAGATAGATTTTGATATATATGGATTGATGGACAAAAAGATTTAATGAGGGATTGATGGATAGACATATAGATAAATGGATAGATGAATGGGTGGAAGGATGGATTGATTGATGGACAGGTAGATAGACGGATTCATAGGTCGATAACAAGATGATTTTATGGATGGCAAGATGGGGAGATGATGGATAAATGAATGGATTGATTTTTAAGTATATAGATGGATAGATAGTTGGTAAGATTGTTGGATAGATTGACCAACATATAGATGTAGAGAAAGATGGATAGCTAGACAGATGGATGGATTGACAAACGAATTGATAGACAAATAGAGATAAATGGTGGGATATTTAGATGGACAGATGAGAGTCACACACAAACAGACCCGGGCAACGCCGGGTTAACCCTCTATTACATGCTATGGGAAAGAACCTTCGACTGTTAAAATTTGGAGGCCACACGGTTAGGGCTAGACTCACGCAATTTGGCAGAGGGGATGGTCTGGGGAACGGGATGAACATAGGCTAGTTGAGGTCTCAAGACTTAAAAATTAACAGTGTGCCAGTGCCACATTCAGATCCTTCCACGACGATTTTTGGCCGTGTCGGACGGCTACACAGCTATGTATCATCAAAACTCTATAGAAAAGCATTAAGGTAATATGGGCCTTTTCTCACTGATCTTAGGAAAATTAACAGAAATTTCTTGTTGTCAATAATTTTTCCAGTGCATCAAAGGTTTCTCCTCTCCTCCGTTCTTTATCAGAGTAAGGGGGTAACTATTCTTTTTGTAGTTCACACCACTGAACAACTCGCACTGCTGACCACCACACATAGACAATTATTTCTTTTATCAGAGAGAGAGAGACACAGACAGACACAGACAGACAGACAGACAGAAATACAGGCACAGAGACTGACAGATATAAGGACATAAAGAGAGAATGACAGAGATAGGGACCCAGAAACAGAGAGACTGACAGACACACCTAAAGATAGAGACAGAGAGGTAGACAGTGACGGACAACAGATAGATAGATAAGTGGATAGGTAGATGGATAGATTGATTGATGGATTTATAGATGGATACACTGATGAGTAGGTGGATAGATAGATGGATGGATATATGGGTAGAAAGATGAGTAGATAGATAAATGGATGGATAGGCAGACAGTTGAATTGACAAATAGATCGATGGAAAGATAATTGGATGGAGAGATGAATAGAAAGATGAGTGGGGGCATGGATAGATAGATGCATAAATAGATTGGTAGAAAGCTAGTTGGATTGCAAGCAATATGGATAAGTGGATAGAAAGGTATATAGATAAAAATGAATGCACGCATTGACAGACAGAGATGTAGATAGTTAGAATGGTAGGTGAATAGATGAAAACAAAACTAGATGGATAGATAAATTGATAGATGACTACAGTAATGGATGGACACAAATTACATTGATGGTAAGATGGATTGGTAGAAAGAGAGATGGACATTCAAAGTGTGAATGGATAGATGGAAAACTTACGATTGTAGATGAATGGATAAATGTGTAGATGAATTGATAGATGTATATCTATATAGATAGATAGTTAAATGGATTGACGGATGGATAAAGGGACAGATTGTTAGATAGATAGGGGTAGAGATAAATAGACAGATGAGTGGGTAGATGGATTAATGGACGTGTGGATAGACTAAAAAATTGATAGATGGATAAATAGGTGATTATATGGGTGGCGAGATGTGTTGATGGAAGGATAAATGGAAAGATTCTTTATTAGATGGATGGATACAAAATTGAACAGATAGATTGATAAATAGTTTGGCAGACAGACTGATTGATAGGTCGAGATAGATGGATACATTGATAGATATAACGAGATAGATGGACTGATAGATGGATAGATTTCTGGATGGATTGATAACAGGAGGAGTAGATGGATAAATGGATGGATTGGTAGCTGGTGGAGTAGATATATATATAAATATATATATATATATATATATATATATATATATATATATATATATATATATATATATATATATATATATATATATATATATATATATATATATATATATATATATATATATATATATATATATATATATATTGACTACTGCTACAAGGAACGACGGAACAATTGGCAAGGAACTACTCTTCCTCATCCTGAAGCTTCAGCACTTCACTTCACACCTGAAAAGTGCTCGGTCCACCATCAATACGGACCACACCACCCTACACCTCCTGCAGCACGCCCACTTCTCATCTCAACGTCTTCTACTATGGGCTTGCTACCTGCAGAAATTCAACCTGGAGACACGCTATACCAAGAGTCTGACAACATCTTAGCCCATGATCTCTCCAGAGTTTATGAAGTAGAAGCGACTCCATCCATTACTCCACCACATAACGACGTACTTCTTCCAGAACCGCAGGCTTCGGGGGAGAGTTGTGACAATAATCTCCTTCAAGAGATTGAGCCTGCTCTTCCCTCCACAAACACGTCGTTGAAATTATATAAAACGGTGCCTTAACGTAACTTTTCATTGTGTCATCTAATTATTCTTATTATTTTGATTGATTTTATTATAAGAATTTGTTTGTGCATTTTATTCATGTTTTGATTTAATTAACGTAATTAAAATTTCATTGTTAAAGTTTACTTGTGTTTTGTGTGTCTTCTCCTTACCTTACCACAGACGAAGTTCCAGTTTTTTCTATTTTTTTTTATAACTATGTGACGAGGCCATACCCCTAGCCTTATATAGTTATATATATATATATATATATATATATATATATATATATATATATATATATATATATATATATATATATATATACTGGCAGCAGGTTTTCGTTCAAACATGTTTCATTGAATATGACCGCATATTCTGTATTTATTATTTTCTGGTTTAGGGCTTCTATCCCTCTAACTATTTTCTTAGCATCAGGGCTTAATTGAAATAGGAGTTCTCCAAAACTCATTTTCGTACTTTTAAGGTGAAGAAAAGAAGTGATTTACTATAGAGTGTATTACACTTATTTGTATAATTTGCACGACGTTTCGAACCTCCATGGTTCATTCTCAAGTGAACAGATCTTACAATACTAGTTGATTTTATACCCGCATTAGGTCAGGTGATAATACAATAAAGTTGAAAACATGGGGGGATACATAAGGGATAAATGTGAGGTGAAACATAGAGGCTGCAGAAGGCTTATTGGCCCATACGCGGCATCTCCTATCTAAACACAAAGATTAATCCAGTGTAATTGGCCTGTTATGTTGGACATTGTCTTCTGTGTTGGCATCGATATGTTCTTGTCTTGTCCTTACTCTCATGGTGGGTAGAGTAAATAGTTCCGTGATTTGGGTGCTCATGGTAGGTCGCTCTATTCTTATGTGAATTGCCTCAAGAATTTGTAATCTTCTTGAATCTTGGGTTTTGTCTATTATGCAAGTATTCTTGTTCAACATTTCTCTTGTTAGAGTAATGTCATGGGTTTGTCTCATGTGATTCCTAGGGGCACCAGATTGAAGATGGCATGTCAAACGCCTCGTCAGCTTGGTCGACGTCATACCTATGTACTTACATTGAAGGTTACATCCTTCGTGGGGGCAAGTGTACATGTATACAACGCTTGACTGCTGTAGAGGGTTCTCCGTCGGCTTCGGGCTGTTTTTGATAAGGAGTTCGGAAGTCTCCTTCCGAACTCTTCGGAAGTTTCCTGCTGCCAGTATACACCAATATAAACCCACATGACCCAGCAGTCCGCAATACAGAGTTTACCTATAGGTATAGGCAAGAGCTCATTCGGCATCAACTAAACAAGAAGAAGGAAGCCCTCGAAACCTTTACAGAGCAGGCGGAGCA